GAGGCTCAGCAGCAGGGTCAGAGTCCAGCGTCCCCATCCCTGCACCCCTGGGGACCTCCAGCACCCCAACCCCACCAGCAGCTCAGCACCCGCGGAAGGGAGGCCCCTGTGCTGGGGACATGAACATGGACAGAGCAGCCCTGGGGTGGCACCAGCTCTGCCCACGCCGCTGCTTTGGGGCGCCCCAACACAGGGTCAGCTCCAGCAGAAGGAGGTTTGGTGCTGGTGGATACGGCTGCAGTAAGGAACGTGCTGCAAAGGGCGCAGGGACACTTCACCCCTGCTTGGGGCAGCCCCACAGCCAGTGCTAAGGGCTTTAGTAGCTTAGAAAGAACCTAATTCTCCTAAGGCAAAGCCACCCCTCTCCTTCCTCTCCAAGTTATGGTCCATGGGGTGGAACCTGGGCTCCTCAGCACCTCTTTCATGTGTCCCCAGCTTCCCCATCCCACCCTGGAAGATGATGGAGAAGGAAGCTCGTGGTGGCACCTACCGTAGAGGGTGTCCCAGGATGGAGAGGGAACACAGCAGCAGGGAGGGAGGTCAGTGAGAGCACGGGAGGGGAGAGAACCACGTTACAGAGAGTATCGACGATGGGATAAGGGACCCAGGCCAAGGAGGGAAAACCCACCCCACATCTCTCACCACCCCAGCGCAGGTCCCATGGAGCATCCCCACTCAGCCCCACCTGCATGTCCGTGGTGCCCACATGGCTCTGAAGAGCAGAAACCTCCCGCCCGCTCCAAACAGCCCTTGGGTCATGCCATTGGAATAGGCAGGATCACCCTGAGACTGATGGTTCCAAAGCCTCCCTCCTGCTGGCCCCCAGGGTGGGAGATGGCCCCAGCTCCATGCACCAGCACCTGCCTTTTGAGCACTGGCTTTTCGGGGACCCCAAACTGGTGGGTGCTTTGGCCTCCTCTCTGAGCTAAAGGCACAGCTCCGTGAAGTGGCAGCTCAGGGGAAGGTGGGGAGACACAAGGGATTAGATTCACATTTGCTGGGTCAGGTGAAGCATTGGCAGGTCCAAGCCAGCTTGAGCCTGGTCCCATCCGGGCCACCGGCCACTGGAAGAGGACAGTGCTGCAGTCCCAGGTCCAGGCTCACACCTGCACTGTCCCATCCCAGGATCCTGGTGGCTCCATCCCTCTCTGCTGCCTGAGCTATGGGTGCCCCAACATGGTTTGTAACTCAACCAGAGGGATCATCCTACAACAAGGCCAAGCAGTGCAGAAGGATGTCACCTGGTTGCCTGACTTCATGTCCTTCATGTTCATGGCATTCTTCATGCCTTTGCCCTTCTCCTTCTTGTTCTTCTTCTTCTTGCAGCAGCACTTCTTGCAGATGCAGAAGCAGCAGGTGAGGATGAGGAGTCCGGCTACCACCGCGATGGCGATGAGGGCCCAGGGTGGCACTGAAGGCAAGAGCCAGGGCCATGGTCAGCCCCACAGCTCCCTCCCTGCCCCACCACCTTGTCCCATGTGTTGCACTGGGACCAGAGCGATGGTGTGGTCATGAGGAAGTAATACCAGGAAAAGGAAGCAGCTACTCACAGGGGATCTTGTTGAGCTCGTTCATGAACTTGTCCTTCAGCTTGGTGAACATGTCCTCCTTGCTCTCGCCCGGCCCTGCGGCCTCTGTGGAGTTCTCCATCGTGGTCATGGGCATCGTGGTGGCCGTGGCCTCCGGGGCCATCATGGACGCTTGCTTGAACGTCATGGTGGGTCAGGGGCTCCCTGGAACACAGCGTCCCCTCGGTGGTCACACAGGTCCCTGCTGCCCCCACCTCTGCCCATGCCCAGGCTGTGCCCCCAGCAGGAACCTGCCCCAAGGACAACATCTGCAGTGACAGCAGGGCTACAGCAGGGGCTTGGTCTGCTGAAGGGGCACAGACCCAGCGGTTCTGAGAGACCAACATCTGGATCCTCCACAAGTGAGGGAATTCCAGCCGACAGCCGGCATCAGTGCCGGCAGCTCAACATCCCAAGGGCAAAGTTCCAGGCTAACACCTCTGCAGGGGTCTGGGCCATGGGGCTGTGCCCCACTGCTGCCCCCAAGTGTGGGGCAGGTGGAGTCCTGCTTTGTCCCACACCCACAGAGGATAAAGGGTGTCCAGGCCACCCTTTGGGCTCCCATGGGTGCACAGTAAGGATGGGGAGTGCAAAGCAAAAGTGCCAGTGGGGTAGGCAGTGCCGTGGGGTGGGGGGACCCCCGGGGACCCCCCACTCTGCACCCAGCTGTTGGGTGCAGGGTGGGCACGCAGGCAAGACCACCATCCTCCAGCACCACAGCCCTGGGCACCCAGTGCGGTGATGGGTGTGCTCCTGGGTGCTGGTGCTCCCCGTGCCACGGGCTCTGCAGCATGCCAAGGCACAGGCTGAGACTGGGATACTGGGATAGGGATGCTGCAGTTGGGATGCTGTGATTAGGATGCTGCAGTTGGGATGCTGCCAATTATGATGCTTTGGTTGGGGTGCTGCAGTTGGGATGCTTTGGTTGGGATGCTGTGATTTGGATGCTGCAGTTAGGATGCTGCAGTTGGGATGGTGCAATTGGGATACTGTGATTGGGATGCTGCAGTTGGGATGCTGTGATTGAGATGCTTCAGTTGGGATGCTGTGATTTGGATGCTGCAGTTAAGATGCTGCAGTTGGGATGCTGCCAATTATGATCCTTTGGTTGGGGTGCTCTAGTTAGGATGCTGCAGTTGGGATGCTGTGATTGAGATGCTTCAGTTGGGATGCTGTGATTTGGATGCTGCAGTTCAGATGCTGCAGTTGGGAAGCTGTCCAGATTTGGATGCTGCAGTTAGGATGCTGCAGTTGGGATGCTGTGATTGGGATGCTTCAGTTGGGATGCTGTGATTTGGATGCTGCAGTTAAGATGCTGCAGTTGGGATGCTGCCAATTATGATGCTTTGGTTGGGATGCTGCAGTGGGGATGCTGTAGTTAGGATGCTGCAGTTGGGATGCTGTAGTTAGGATGCTGCAGTTGGGATGCTGCAGTTGGGATGCTCTGATTGGGATGCTGCTCGCATCCTGCTGCACACACTGCAGCAGAGCTGCATTCCTTAGGGATGGGTCAGCTGTGTTCAGCATGGCACATGCTTCATGTATGTGCACATATGTGTGAGTGCTTGTGTGCAGGGAGACATGCAAGTGCTGGTGCAGTGTGCAGGTGTCTGTGCACGGATGCAGTGTGTAGGTGCAGGGTGAATGTGTGCAAGGGCTGTTGCATGGGGTGTGCATTCACATCTGCACATGTGCCTGTGCAGGGGGTGTGGATGCACATGTGCCAATGCATGTTCAAGCATGTCTGTGCACGTGTGCAAGGCCTTGGGCATGGGATATTGCAAAAGTGCATGAGGGTGTGCTTATGCAAGTGCTTCTGCAGTGTGCAAGCATGTATGTGTGCAAGTGCTTGTGCACAGGGTATGCACAACTGTGTGTGTGCAAGTGCTTGTGCACAGGCTTTCCCACCGCACTGTGCTTGTTGGGTGCTGGAAGAGCTGAGAAATGGGGGAAACTGAGGCATGAAAGAGACGGGGACAGGGGGCGAAGCTCATGGAGACTCTGTTGCTGCCCCCCCCCCCCCCCCCCAGGGTACAATCCTGCCTGCAGGGAGCCTGCAACCCCTGCCAAGAGGGCTGGTCCTGCCCACTCAGTGGTCAGGCTTCAACCCCCTCCTGCATTGGGCAGTGGTGGGGGGGTGTGCACGGGACAAGTGTGGGGCAGTGCCATGGGGGGCAGCCTGGGAGCAGAGGTGGGGTGGAAGGGCAGGCTGTGGGGCAGGGTGTTCCTGGGCACAGTCCCTTGCGTGCAAGTCCCCATCCCCACTCTGCCACTGCCTCACTGGGTGTCTTTGGTCACATCCAGTCCCCACCATGCACAGTCACTGCAGCCACTGCAATCAGTGCAGTCACTGCAATCAGTGCAGTCCGTGCAGTCAG